ACCGGAACTGATCAAAGCTCTTCGGCAGAGATTGGAGCATAATATCAACCTGGGTTTCCCCGTCAATATAACCTCCCATAACCTCAAGCTCATTGAGCTGCGCCATAACCCTGAGGGCGTGCTCCCTTACGGGTGTGCCCTCGGCCATGCGCGTACTCATCAGAGCACTCAAAGCCTCTTGCCTAGCAGCCCTAGACTGATGTCCGAACAGATCCCTGAGATTGAGAAGTATATCTGCTGCAGTGTCCTTAGACTGATGCTGATGTTGAAGAACATTCGACATAGAAGCCAGAATGTAACACTTCGCCATCTCATCAGCCTTCTTCCACCGAGCATACTCCTCTTTCTCCTGCTCAGGAGCATCAGCCGCCGGCACCGCCGGGCAAGCATCAGTGATAGCAAACTTATAACCCTCAGCAGTCAACACTATGTCTAAGTTCCTCTTCCAATCAATGTAATTAGGACCAGTAAGCTGATTTTCTTTTAGAATGACAGACAACGGATTGAACGACATGATGAATATCCTGAGAATCATGCAAATAAATTTTACAGATTAAACACTTTTGAATTTAACTGTTAATATTGATATCCTCAAAACAACATTAACTTAAATCCACCGACATCTATTACACCTTGTGAGAATGCATGCTACGAGGGTCGCCCTACAAACTCGCATTTTGTAAGAGAAGGGCTTTTCTAAGGCCCATTAATTTCCATAAGTCAAAACCAAATTCATGACGAACGAAATTAATAGTCGGTCTCCATTTGGCCATGCAATAGAATTCAGGGACCCCGAGGGGGGTTAATAAATTTAATCGCATTCTAAGTGAATCCCATTTCTCGGTCCTAAGGTCGTCAAATTTGATTATACGTCATCCGAGGGGAAGCCCGTACGCTCTCATAAGATTTCCTCTAACCGTCTACTTTTAGAAATTTGTCCTGGTAATTTCCTACAATTAATTTTAGCAATGTCACCCGAGGGGGAGCCCATAACCGCAATTAATTGATTTACCGACAAATTAGAAATGGAGGCCTTAGGAATTTTACAATTAACTTTAATTTAAAATCCCTTCTCAAACTTAGTATAATTTAATGAGGATTTTTAACTATTTATACAATTCCAAATTAATCTATGTTAATGCAATAATTAATTAACATGCATATTAATTCATGCAATTCTAAATTAATCTATGTCAATGCAATAATTAATTAACATGTTCAATAATTTATGCAATTCTAAATTAATCCATGCCAGTGCAATAATTAATTACATGCATAATTTATTGACACAATTCTAAATTAATTCTATGCATTACATAATTAATTAACATGCATAATTAATCTAGCAATACTAAATTAATCCCATGCAAGAACATAATTAATTAACATGCATAAATAATAATTTAATGGCATAATAAATTTAATTAAATAAATAAATAAATCCACTATTATGGCCATTAAATATTGAGTCTCCTTAAACAAGGAAACTGTGACAGTTCTTTTCCCTGTTCAACTGGAACTCCTTTAAGCAGTAGAATCCTGGTTGATCTTGTACTGCTTGGACAAGAAGGCAAAACCTCTCCACCTCCTGCAGCCAACCGCCGACTGCCGCCTGGCCGCCGCCGCCAGTGGTCGGAAAAACGCGCCGTTTCCTTTTTTTTTTTTTTTTTATTCTTCGAGGCTCGTTGATCTCTTGTGATCTCCCGGTTATCAACACACGATCACAACACGAAAAATATAATTTACAAAATTACATAATTCGATCCTAGATCCAACGAATGGATGTACATGTTTTCTAAACAAATAATTAAATCTATCCGGTCAACCCCCGGGCGAATAATTATTACAAACATTCATCCATAAATTCCTCGACATGCCCGAGGCTTTAAAAACAAATTTAAAACCATACATCACATTCAACAACATTCATCAAACACATAATCGGCCATAATAGTGGATTAACTATTTTCCTGCAAAACCGAGTTATGCAAATATAATCCAATATATGGCTGCGTTTGAACACATCTTGTCAAATAAAGCCGTAAAAATTCGAACTTTGTACAAAACGAATTAACCAAGTGCTCTGATACCACTTGTTGGGATCTGTGAGGATCTCGTTATGTACAAATCACGAATTCAATAGCAAACGTAAACCTATGCGCAGCGGATCTAAAGGTTTGACGTAGAGAACTTACGGCTTAAAATTTATGTAGATCTGGTTGACCACGAACGGTTGACCGCAATTGATTGACCGCAACACGCGTCTTGGGTTGCACGAACAAGATCAGATCAAAACTGGATCAAACGGATGCAAACAGATCAAAACGAAATTTTGCTGCCAGACACCTTCCGGCGGCGCGTGAGGGCGCGTGCGGCGTCGGATTCCGGCGACGTCGGCGGCGATGGAAAGCTCTCGTCGAGACGGTCGTCTGGGTATACTGTACGTCTCAATCGGACTTCCGGTTAGTTCTGTAGGTCAAAATCAATTTCGTCTCGGTTTACCTACAGATCTTCTACTGTATTACTCAATACACCCTTCTTCAACTTGTACCAGTGGAGCAACAAGAAGAAGATAAAGCTCGAATGAGATCTAGAGAGAGAGACGTGTTTCACGTGAGAATGAGACTTCTATTCTCTTCTCATGAGCTTAATGATGTATATATAGAGCTACAGTAGGGACCCTAAGGAGATTAGGAAAAGGGCTCCTTAATTAATTAGACTAACTGTGGGCCAAACCCACTCCTCTAATTAATTAAATAATATTAATGGGCCACCAACATTATATTATTGCACTCCCTTTCCCTAGCCCAAATTACATTTGAGACTCCAATAATAATTACTCGATTTACCTCCCCACGTTTAAGATATAATGTCCATTAATTAATTCGATTACTGACAATCAAGAATTAATTAATTTATTATTATTTCACCGAAGCTAGCGCTCGTTCATCACATTCTTATTATGCCGGAATTTAATCCACCTGCAGGGTTTAGCATAACAATCCTTCATGAACTCACTCCGGGGACATCATCAAACTAACGCACATGGTGACCGTAAATATCCTAACAGCACATCCTATATATAATAATATTACCCAAAACAGTAGGAATATTAATCCAGCGAACTGAACCTCACCCATGTGAATCAAAGTAATATATATTATATATATCTGCCTGTTTAATATCTTACGGGTTAAGAGAACGCAGTAATTAACCGAGGCCTAGTTCATTTACGACGATCAGTATAAAATGAACTTCTCCTCTCTGGGATCCTGTTCAATACATAAATGTACTAGTGCAACTAATCAGTCAAGACAAACTGTACAGTTGACACTACAACCGTTCGGATGGGGTGTTCATGTCCATCTAGGTTGTGAACAACTATTCTTGTTCGCAAGTGACTGACAGAGTGATCTTCGGTTCGCCCGATGACGACCCACCCTATCTAAGTGCAGAACAACAGAACGTAGAACTTGTTTAATCTAACATGATTCTCATTCATAAAGGGTAAATGTGTAATAACATGCAAAGCCAAGCTTTCAGTATATAACACTAACAGGGTCTCATATTTGTATTTAAATGAATGTGTAGGGATGTGGATGTGTGTTTAAATGGAGAGAAAATTAGTGAAGAGATGATGTGGATGAGAGAGAGTGTAACTTTTTGATTGAATGAATGGAAAAAAAATTAAACCAATGTGGATGCCCCAATGTGGTTTTTAGCTATGGCAAGCTGGCAAGAAATAATATATTCACAGTTGTCGGTTTCGATGATTTGGGCTGATGATAAATAGAAAATCGAAACAGAGTGGAGGGAGAGTAACACATAAATTATCTGTGTCGATTTTTTTTTTCTATGAATTAAATTTTGTTATAATTTGTTAAGTAAAATGACGAATTTTATTTTTGTCACAACAAAATATTATTTATTTTATAACACCGTTTACATTTGTTTTTAAATAATACCTTTTATGAAAAATTTGTGTTTGACGAAAAATAAATTGTCTTAATTTGGTTCAAGCGATGAGGACCGATTAATAAACTGGTTCTCGATTCATTCAGAACTATCATGTCTGGTCCAATTTAAAAACAATGGGTAAATCATGATTAATGTTATTTATATATTTAATTTATAATACAATTATAATATTATTTTCTGCACGGTCCACATACTAGTTCAACTATAATACTTAATTGTATTAGCGGATAGATAATAGTAGATTATAATACCTAGTTTAGCTATATTATTTTATTAAAAAATAATTAATGTTAGGTACCTATTTTGAAAATTAATTACTATTAACATGTTATTTTACGAATCCTATTTTTTCAAGATGCTCAAGTATCGAGCTTTTTCAAATTTAGAGTTTTGAACTCAAAAAGATAAGCAGATAAGATCTTTACTAAACAAGCTAATTAACAAATTTGATGAATGAAACATTTAAATCAATTTAATCCGTTAATATATTTTTACATAAATCCGCTAACATCAAAACAGACCCAACGAGTTTTGTCAAAGCCAATGCTTTCAACCAAAACACTACTATATATTTATCAAACAAGCTAGTTAGTGTACTAGTTGATGTGTCAAACGGTCAAACCTCAAACAAATGTTCAATCCGCCAACATCCAAACGAGATTTTTTTTCGCACTAAGTAAAACATGCACTGGGACTAGTGAAATTAGAATTATAAGAACAATAAAAGCGAGCAGACCATTAGTCTCGATTATTCAACCGGCTACAAGGGGGTCATGATCCTTAAAACATTTCATTTTTAATCCAAAATCTGGACGGCAAGATTATTAATGTTTTAGTTATTGATCAATTTGTTAGTATTCTTTCTTCATTTTGAAACATGATGACGTGAATGTAAAATTACAATGTGTCTCTATTTCCTATTAATTATGGTGAGTGGTCCTTCATTTAAAGCAGCTATATATATATATGACCTTGGTAGCATACACTTGTATCACCATTCACCACACACTTAAAAGATTTTTTTTTTTTTTTTTTTTAAAAAAAAGAACACTAAACCAAGCAAGCTAGCTAGCATGGCATCCAACGTGTTCGGACAGGCGGTGACTGACGAAATGGTGCGGGTGCTCTTCCCCAACGCCAACCCAATCACTAACTTGAACCGGGCAGAAGCAGCCTTGAGGTACATAAACCACGAGGATAGAGCTATCAACGTGAACAGGTTCGTTTGCAACCGTCATGCATATCTTATGATGAATGGCTAGGGGAAAAAAAAAATTGTACGACCTAATACTATGTCGGTATTTGGCATTTGCATCATATATAAAAGTAGTTTTTGTGGTAAACCACAATTTGAACTTTAAATGAATAAGTGTATTGTGCATCTTAAACATAAAATTATCCGCGTGCAAAAACTGCACACGTGTATGGTCATGCATTGAGAGCTTGCGAAATATGAATGTTCATGAAGTTTATGCTGCATTTTACAACAAAAAAGTACTTTACACTACAAAGTCAAAAAATGACATAGTACACGATGCAAATTTTCATTTAGCCGCTTAATTAGTTTATCTATTGTTTGTTCATCATGATGAAAGGGCTAGCTCTAATTATTTTTCTGACATATCACATGTAGGTTTGTGCACAACCTCAAGGGCACGTGGGGCACGGGAACCTCCACGCTGGGCATGGTGTACAACGCGACCGGCGGCATCATATCCCTCATGCAAGCCCACTCATGGGAAGGCAACGTCTGGGGCCTACCCTTCCCTATGATCGTCCAAAACGGGCAGTGGTTCGGGTTTCTCTTTGTCCGTGATCGCCTAATGGGCTCTGCTAAGGGGGGTCTCGTCTATAGAGGTAGGGACAACTCCGGGAATAACCGTGATTGGTTGATCTCGTGGGAAACCACCCGCATGAATGCCCAGAACCGCGTGAGTAGCGCTAGCTAGCTACATTTTTTGGACTTTCTTTTATTATACGATTCTCAATATATAGCGTTTTATTCTTTATAACTCAGGTGTTCGCCCAGGTTCGACTGTCGAATAGTTTCAATGCGTTGAATTGGGGCACTATCAACTTATCAATGGGAAGACAGCTTAACAATTTTTCTATTATCGAAAATGGAGGCTTTGCGATCGTGGAGATTAGGACGGGCAGTTCGCCCGAGTTTACTGGGATATTGTCGCTAGACAGTTTGTCCCCCCAAGCCATGACTCATGCTTCTGATTTAAGGGTCGTCTTGCCGTTGCTCGACTCCAAATACAATGATCTTGATGCCACTGAAGAGGGTGGAGAGAATAATGAGGCAACTCCTGCTGCTACTGCTACTACTGCTGAGTAATCGGCTTATTGGAATTTTAAACATTACTATTATATAGATTTCCTCAAATTATATTAATATTAATAATATGGAACAATTGAGGCAAGTGTATGGTTACTACTGTTCAATTGGCCAAGTCTATTTGGGGGGAGATGGTAGTAGTGTTGGATGTATTAACCACCAATGTTGGTTCTTGTTGTGCATTTTCGTTGCTTGTGGTAATAAAATCAATGGTAGTAGAGTTGGATGTGTTAACCTCCAATGTTGGTTCTTGTTGTGCATTTTCGTTGCTTGTGGATGTGGTAATAAAATTAATTTTATACACGTTTCTAACCAAAGTTACATATAACGCTCTTAAATGAACGCTCTTAACTGAAAACCATACATAAAATTTTTGTATCATAAAAGTTTGATGCGATGGAGCAAGATTTTGTATCATCTCTAACAATCTACACTAGGTATCAACTCTAACAACCCAACTACACTATTCCTCTACACTATTCCAATGAAGCGGTCACTAGACTTTTCCTTTCCCTTCTTTCGATCCTCAAACTCAAGCTCCCCATTGGGTTAGAATCTCTCGCCTTTGACCTTCTAGTCAGTATTCATTCAATAATTTATTTTATATAGTTTTCATACATTGCACATAGAGTTCCAAACAAGTTGAGCCAAACTCCCTTAATGAAGTGAGAGAGCTCGAATCATTAACTAAACGAGTCAGAATTGAGTTTGAGCTCGACTCGTCTATCAATATAAATCAATTGACCTCGTGACTTAACAAGCCAAACTGTAAAAAATTATATAAATTGATTTCGAGTCGAGTCAAGCCCAACTCGTTACCTAAACGAACTTTCAATGAGCTCTGACTCGACTAGTTTGATCCAAACTTGAACCTTAACGAGCAGAGTCGAGCTCACGAGCCGCTCTTCATTTAACAATCACTATGGTTGAGTGAAACTGCCCTCTTCCGATCTCGCTCTTCAATTTCACAAAACCTTTTAAGTTGTTTATAATTTTCCTTTGGGTTTAGTTTTTTCTTTACCATAAAATAAATCTTTTTTTTTTTAACTCAATTATCATCTATCCATACAAACTGAATATTAAAATTATTGAAGGGATTCAAAGTTGATAGGAAGACAAATAAAATGAATGCACTTGTTTGACGACTATTAATTGATAGCGGATACTTAATAGTTGAGTTGAGTGTTTCAATATTACTAGTTGGTTTGAGTAGCAAATTTAATTAGCTGGGACATTGATAGTTTGATTGTATTAGTTGTATTAGATGGTTTGACTATAAAAATCAATTAGCTATTTGTCAAATAAGTGTTTAGTAAATAACAAAAATTTATAGTAATCACATTGTATTTTTTTTTAAAAAGCCTCCCTTCCAAATATAATCACTAATAGAGAAACTAATTAGCGGATTTAATTAATTAAACATTTATTTGAAATTCAATCTGCTAATATATATATATATATATATATATATATATATATATATAAATGGTTGATTATTTTTTAAATAGTAACTATTTTCCTCCAAAAAAAATTATTTACTATTTCGGGAAATTAATTTAACAATTTATGGTATATTTCAAATGATCACTTGTGGAAATTGCGGCTCATTATTTAAGGAAGTAATTAAGCCATATTTTAAGATACCTTAATTACTCAATTCACGTGAATTAATTAATATATGGTATATAGTGGACGAATTTATTTTTGATATTGGTGGTTGTTTCTATGAAAATTAAATTAATCAATATATGGTATAAAGTGAGCAAATTTATTTAGGTTATTTGATAATTGTTTTTTGTAGGAAATTTGTTAAAAAATTAATCAATATACGGTGTATTTTTTTCTGTAATGCGCGGGCTAATATATTGGTTTTTAGTTGTGGGTTTCAATTTTTCGTATGAAATTAACATAATAAAATTACCGTAACTCCGACAAAATAATATGAACTGATACTTTGATATATATAATATGCGTGTATCGATATTTTTTTTTTTTATAGAAAAAGCTCTGGTCAATTTTTTTTTGTATAATTAGTGGGTCTCGATTTAATTCATTTTTTGTTACGACATTTCAAATAATTTTTGTGTGAAATGCACTGTTCATTTTTTTAGCATGATAAAGAGTGTCAATTTTTTTGGCATAGAAAATCTTATGACTAATTGTTTTTACTCAACTACTTAAATTATTTGATTGGATATTTTATATAAAAATAAATTCATTTTAATTAACTTAACAATATAAGTTTTATATTTATATATATTATTCACGTAAGTTTTTAAATATATGATAAAATTTTACCAAAATAATTATTTTATGAAATTACGTTATAGTCAAAATTTGTGAATAAAAATTTTGAAATGACACAGATTTTGAAATGTATATAATGTAATTTATTATCAGTTATGTGCAACGCACGAGATGTCTACTAATTTTAAATAGACATTTTTATATAATTTTGCACATTTTAAATTTTATATAACATTTTCAATAAGTTATATAGATACATTGTATTGCATATTGATTCCATGTTCTTAATTTATAAATATTATTTAATAAGAATTTTAATTTATAAATATTAATTAATATCTCTTACACGGTTTCGTACTAGTTTAACATTATTCAACTAATAAATAAAAGAATTTTCAAGTGCAAATTCATAAAACTTTAGGGTTACTTTTACAATTAAAATTAATTCCTATATACACCCCTACCAACTAACAAGCTTTCCCCCTTTGCTCAGCAGCCCTAATTTCTGCCGCGACACAATAACACAGTTCAGAGCTCTCTCTTTTCGTGTTTGACTGCATATAATCACGTATTTGCAGACTAAAGGCGCAGAACAATGAGTAGGAGCTTAGGAATTCCGGTGAAGCTTCTTCACGAGGCGTCGGGGCACGTGGTGACGGTGGAGCTGAAGAGCGGCGAGCTGTATCGTGGGAGCATGATTGAGTGCGAGGATAACTGGAATTGCCAGCTCGAAAACATCACCTTCACTGCTAAGGTAGTTCTATCTCCTTAATCGTGGCTCCAAATTAGTTAAAACTTTTTACTGCATTTTTATTTTCATGTTCCTTTATTGCTGTCAAACCTAATTAGATTGCCAATCCCCTTAGGAGAAGATTCGAATTGGGTGTAAAGTGAATTTTTGTTTAGATGGTTCTGTATTTTTCATCAATTTGTTAGGTTTGGGGAAATGACTGTTAAACCGTAGTTAGATGTTGAAATCTAAAAGATTTCATTGTCCTATTAATTTAGCTGGGGCCTGGGAGTTTGCGAGTTTCTAGGTTTATGATTTCACTTGAACTAAGCTATTGCTGGTTATGAGTTGTATATTTCACATGCGTAGTTCAAGTTGTAATTTTGTTTTGTGTTTGTACGTGGGAGTATGGTTATAGTTGCAACGTTATGGTTGAGCTCAAGGTACATGTTAGATCCATGGAAATGATACGTAGAGTGAGAAAATTTGATTGCTGTTTATTTTTGTTTGCTTCGTTGTGGATACTTAAGTTTAACTGATTTCCATTGTATTATGTTTAGTTTATTCATATTGGATAAGCAGCATTTAACTTTTTATTTATTCCTCGTTCTGTTTACATTACCTTTCATTGTGTGATGTTAGCCTCAGTCTTTAGGAGTCTGTTGGTTTATTCTTCTGGTGGACACGTGTAACTCCTAATATCTGAGTGTGTCTGAATTTTAACGACACGAGAAGATATGATAAGGGAATGTGTATTTGCTTTGTTTTTCTGCCTAAAAGTTTTTGACTAAAGTATCATATTTTTCCTTGAACCGAGATTGTTAATTGGCTCTGCACGAGAAATGAATACTCATATCTAGTTGGAAGCCCTGTTGAACTACCTAAGCATGTTTTTCCAGTGTTATTTAATCTGTAACTGATCCTGAAAGAAATATGTTAATTGGCTCTGCACGAGAAATGAATACTCACTGTATAATTTTAATCATGCTTAATCCATTAATTCGACCAAACTGACCCTGAAAGAAATATGTTCTATCCAAATAGATGGGTAGTCTTTGAACAATAAAAAATATTATATCATGCTTAATCCATTAATTCAACCAAACTGACCCTGAAAGAAATATGTCTGATGATTATAAGATAATAAGATTAAGTATGTTATGGCATGCTTGGGCTTTTTCCCCTTACAGTCTTTATAAGGAATGAACATCAAATACGCTTAACAATATTGCAGGACGGGAAGGTCTCACAACTCGAGCATGTTTTCATAAGAGGCAGCAAAGTGAGGTGTGTATTCATTCTAATTAGTTGCGTCATTTGCATCACTTTTTTTATGGATCTGTTATTTATGCCAATGCTTTTGCCAGGTTCATGGTTATTCCTGATATGCTTAAGAATGCTCCAATGTTCAAGCGCTTGGAAGCTAGGATTAAGGTACCATTCAGTTGCACTACATTTCTTCATTTTTGCAATACCAATTCTCAATTTAGTTATTCGTTCTTGCTTTCCATCTCTAAAGGGCAAGGGTTCTTCAATTGGAGTTGGACGTGGGCGTGCTGTTGCCATGCGAGCTAGAGTAAGTCATTCTTATTGTGCTGAACACACATTTGGGGATTGGGGTGTGAACTTGTGTTTGAAAAAGATTATTTACAGTTATCAGTTGGATGTATGGAGTTTCTACAAACGTGTAACAAAAAGTGATCAACTCTTCTTGACTGATAAAATACGACAAAAGCTATAAAATTAACAGAACGGAAGGGTGTTTTTTTGTTTCACGTCTATTTCAGTTCTTGTTTTGGATTTTAAGGACGAGTTAAGCACATGTGCTGCCGGTTTAAAACAACCACCCTTTTGAATTTAGACAACTCTGAGCTGATCTGTGCAATAAACATATATAAAAACGTTTTTTTATTTGCATGATGGATAGTCTCGATGTCATTTTTTTTCCTTTCGTTGGCAGGCTCAAGCGGCTGGCCGTGGAGCTCCACCAGCTGGCGGCAGAGGTGCAGTGCCACCTGTTCGGCGGTGAATGATTTTCTCGAGTGGTGTGGGATATTGATTTTCTGTGTCTTCTCTGAGTTTTGAGATACCTTGAAGTGAATTTCTCTCCGTCTGTAACTGGAACTTCTTAGTATTATCATCTTTATTATGTCAGAGGATTGAATTTACCAATTGGTGGTGTCTTTGTTTCTGTGGGATTTGAAAGCATTTTGTGTTGTATCTTAAATTACATTGCCAGGCCGTGCACTTTTAGTGCCTTTTTTTTAGGCATTTGGGAGGGCGATAATTGGTTTGACTGCAAATGAAACAATACAAAAACAAAGTTTTAAAGAGTTATATATTAGTGGAAACAGCGGAAAAAACGAAAAAATGTCAAAATATCTTATATGATTAACATAATTTTACTTATTAGTTTGGGTCACGTTGAATGCTGATGTTAATGAACATTGTTTTTGAGACAACTTCCAAGCCTCCAACTCGTTTTTTAATAGTGAAACTTGAAAGTGAACTTTTAGATTAACAATTTAATTGTTAAATGTTTCCAAACCGATAATTAAGTTAAAGTATTAAAATTAAACAAATGGGAAATAATTACAAAGCAAAAGTAAAAGGCAGCTGCATAAATGGGCCCAAAAAATACTGTGACATATTAGATGCAAATTAAAATGGATGAATAAGACATCTGTTATTTTTTGGGGTGGAACAACGCAAATTAAAATATTATATTTTAAAAAACAATATAAGCAATAATATGACATTTGTTTTATCATTAGTATGTATTTCTGTTAATAATATATGAGTGGTCCACCGATCCAATTATTAAAGCATCTCCAATGTTATAACTTTGAAAGACAATGATTTTTAACACATGTCAATCAATGATTGTAATGTTAATCCATGTAGGAATAATGTTAAAAGAGTAGAAATTTGAATCAAACTAGTATCTCCAATGCATCAATTTGGTAAGAAGTTATTTGTATAGGTGCAGCAATTAAAATAATCATTAATACAAGAACAATAAAAAATTAAATCAAATATAAAGTGAATTGATTAGTCATCATGTTTAACATGCTGTTAGATATTAGAAAGTGTGCTCAACATTGTCAACATTAAATGCTATCCACCTCATCATGAAAGAGCTCATGACAAGATGCATTGGAGAACAAATTACTAACACACTTTTAAAAGTTGATGATATGAATGAATTTTTATAATGTCAAAAGCTACATTGGAGATGCTCTTAGATCATTTTCACGCAATGTGTTGTTGTTTAACCAATACTAGTACAACACCCGTGTACTACACGAGTTGTTTGAAAAAAAATATAAAACATAAAATAATAGAAATAAACATGTTGTCGTATAAAAGCTTATTATTTTTTTTATAAACTAAAATAATTTAATATTATATAAAACATTACTTTAGGTTTTAATTAAATTGTCAAATTATATTTTTTTAATCATAATAATTAAACACCCGTACATTAAATAAAAATGTCAACCCATGTTCAATTTTTTTACTTATATCATATAAAAATATCGATATTATTTACTATTACATAAGTATAAAAATATATATGTTAAATAAATAGAAATAATATGGTGATATGTGTATGCATAAGTGTAAAATATGTTTATTTAAGGTTTTTTTTTTAACTTTATATGTAATTTTAGAATTTAGATAAATAATTATTTATTTTTATTACATTGACAACATACCAAATAGATTTGAAATAAACAAAATTTGAACATGTCTTATTTGGATAAACAAAAATTTGAACAATTTGTTTATCTGAAAATAAAGTACACTATAATTCTTTTATTTGTTGGATTTAGTTTATAATTTATTAAATTAAGTAACGTGTGCATTTTAGTTATAGATTTTAGACTAAATGATATTTTTTTATCCTACATTTATCTACTTAGAATCCCATCTATACTTATATTAAAGGGGGTACTATTTATCAAATTAAGTAGCCAGAAAAGTCAACAGCATTTATTGCATTACTATTTCCGTATTATACTATATAAAAGGATATTCTATTTACTACATTTACTATCCAGAAAAGTCAACTGCATTAAATGTCATTACTATTTTGGTATTATAATATTTTATTTATTTAATTGATTTATTTACTTGTTTTATTTTAAAAAGGTAAGTATAATAAAAATATTTTAATAATAAAAAAATCAAATACCAAATAAAAATGTACACTTTGACTTATTTGATTATATTTGGTATTTGATTATACTAAATATATTCCTATTTAGTATATACATTAAATACTTACTAAAGTATTTATTTGTTCTATTTGTCAAAGTTAAGTATAGATTTGTTTATATTATCAAATCATAAAAAAATATTAAATCCATATTGTAAAAAAAAATCATATAATTTTATAACAATTCTACTACACTATTTAACAATATTCCTTTTTTATTATATAATAAAATAATAATTAAATATTATATGGTGAACAACAATAAGTAAAACTGTTACTTTCTCTTATATCAAGGGATAAATTTATATGCTAAAATTAAATTTTTATTAGTATAAATGTTTTAGTGAGATAATATATTAATTATTTTACAAGCTAGCCCTAACATGCTCATATTTAATGTTTTAAAAGATGTAGAAAAAAAACTTATAATAACTCTATTGTTTTTTAGACTTAAACGTTGATTAAAAGAGGTAAAAATTCCTAATTTTTTAGACTTAAACGTTGATTAACACCATAGATTGAGAGTTTATATTTAGTAAAATTCCTAATTGTAATAAAAAAATTAATTTTTGCTATATTTTAGAATATCTTTAAATTCATTATAAAAAAAAAAAAAAAAAAACTACAATGAAAAAAGCAAGTCAGCTATATATCGATTTGTTGTACTCCTCAAATCATATTCACAATTTGGCTACAAGGAAAGGAAACTCATTGATTAAAATATTATTTTGTCAGTAATCTTAATGTACAAGAGACTTTAAGACTCCACTTGAATATTATAAAACTTTTATTGAACATTGTACAATTTCTTGCGTATTATAAACTTTTATTGAATATTGCATCTTATAATATAATATTCTCTAAATAAATATATCTCGTGCTTCGCACGGGTCACGTACTATATATATCGCGTACATTTTTCTTTATTCATGTATATAATTATAAGTCTGGATAAATAGCCTTAAAATTGTGCACCCCGTGCATCGCACGGGCTCTGTACTAGTTTCTTATGGACAATTAAATAAATCATGTATACACGTAACTACGAAATAAATTTTTTGGATTCATTATAAGAATAAAAAAATTCATTAAAAAGGAAAAAATCAATCATGGATTTAGTGTGATAAAACATATATTAATTTCTATCCAAGTTTAACTCCAAAGCATGTTTTTTTGCCAAATAGGATTCCAAAGCATGAGAATTTGCCACGTAGGCTCAACACATTCTGAAATTATATTATTTATTATAAGAATAAAAAAATTCATTGAAAAAGGAAAAAATTAATCATGGATTTAGTGTGATAAAACATATTAATTTATATCTAAGTCTAACTCAAAAGTATGTTTTTTTGCTAAATAGAATTACGAAGCATGAAAATTTGTCACGTAGGCTCAACGTATTCTGAAATTATAAATAGAGGGGATAACCAAAAAAATATATTAATATTGTATGTAAATATTTAAGAATAACTTCGTACAGAAAAAAAAAAAAGAAACATATATTTGAGAGAATCTTTAGTTTGACTTTTATTACAGGTAGATATTATTTGATTTTTGAAGAGTGAAATTGATATTTTAACAGTTGACATAATATAATTCGGGACCTTAGTATTATTATTAAAAAAATATAAAACTTTTCCTTTAGGTTGGCGCAGTAGGGTTTTGTAAAAACCCCAAATTCCATTTCTACACACCTCAACCAAATTGATAAAGGAGAGCGCCACCTTCTTCCCCGGAGGTCCTTTAGCTCTGTCGAGTCACTCTGCAGTCACGGGCGGCGACGCCTCTTCTCAACGGCCTCCACCGCCAGCAGCCAGTTTACCCACCCCAAATCAGATTTAAAGACCGGCGAACATGGTAAAAGACCAGTCTTTGCATCATAAATTCATGATTCTTCCACATGTTATCTTGTCAATTTGCGTTCGTTTTATAGTTCTTATCTAAGGATGATATTTAGAGATTGTGTAGTTGAAACTATTTTATCCGAATTGGTCTGTTTCTACTGGAATAGGTTGAATATGAATCCAAGATGCAACTTTTTTGTTGTTTATTTATAGTGTATTCCATGAACCATTTTTTTTCTTGATGAAGTACATGTTTCTGTTGATTCCGAAATATAGGATGATATTTCGTTTTGTGTTTTTTATACAACCAGTTTTAATATTTTACCCATTTTTAAATCAGACGTCAGAGGTTGTGGAGGCAGTTAGATTCGGGTTCTTGACCGATGAAGAAGTCAAGAGACTCAGTGTAGTTAAAATATCCAACCCAAATTTGCTGGACATACTGGAAAAGCCGATCCCTGGTGGACTTTATGATCCGGCCTTGGGACCCCTTGACGAGAATTCCATGTAAATATATGATATTTTTAATCAAGGGTTGTGTTCGAGCCAATATATATTATCACAATTGGTTTTTCCAAAATTTACATTACTTGTTCGATCTCGTCAAATGCAGGTGTAAATCGTGTGGGCAACGAGCGTACCACTGCCCAGGTCATTGTGGGCACATTGATCTTGTTTCTACAGCATATAACCCTTTGCTTTTTAGAATGCTGAGCAGTCTTTTGAACAAAGTCTGTTTCCATTGCTTTCAGTTTCGGTCAAGCAGAAAGGAGGTGGGCCGGCGTAGATGTTGTTTAATTTATTTTTTATTTCATTGCTGCAAATTTTGTGTTTCATGGCTTCATTTTACTCCACTGAAAAAGATCGTTGTTTCAAGCTAGGTGGAGAATTGTGTCTCTCAACTGGAATTGATCAGAAAGGGTGATATTATTGGGGCAAAAAAAATTAGTGCGCGGCAAAGCCTATTGGGGAATAAAAAGATGGAGTTTTCCTTACCAGATGATATAGTTGCTGCCGAGGACAGCCAAGGGAGTCATACATCACATTCAACAGTACACTCTGACGTTGAGAATTGGTGTGAGGATAATAATACGCAAGCACATTGGGATTCTTCTCAGCTCACTGAAGCAATGTCAGTCCTAGATGACTTTTTGAGGAAAAAATCGAACAAGTGCAGTAACTGTGATTTTGCTAATCCCAAGATCAATAAGCCAACTTTTGGGTGGTTTCATATGGTATGATTTATGACTGAAACCAATGGAAGTCCATTCCGTTGACATTTTTTCTTTAATTGAAGTTCACTGA